CGAAAAAATGCCGTAAAAACGACAAACACATTTTTTATTACGTATATCATAATTCATAATAAATATATATTCATATAATTATGTGCATAATTATACCGTCGTATTTAATATTGCTGATTAAAAGAAACGCAAAGTAACAACATCATAATCGCACGGCACGAGTTTATGACGCCTACTGCACGCGTAACGTCGTAATTTAAAGAACTATCTAAAAAAAAACGACGTAGGTACGTACATCCTACGTCTAACATTCGAATATTCGACATAAACAATAATTGATAATAATATAATCTATAACAGTCCACGGGGTCTCCGATTTTCGAAGTGAAATTCATCGACCATCATATTATTGTAGTCATATAGATCACGATCAACATATAATTATTATACGCAGCGTACGCTTAAACGTAAACAGTTTAATATATAGTATATTATATAATATCTTAAGGTATGACACAGCTATTTTCAATGGGGGGGCTTACATATAAAAAAATTATATATATATATATATATATGTATGTGTATCTAATATATAAAATTCTCGTGTCACAGTTTTCGTTGCCATACTCCTCCGAAATGGCTTGACAGATTTTGATGAAATTTTTTGTGCATATTCAGTAGGTATGAGAATCGGCTAACATCTATTTTTCATACCCCTAAGTGATAAGGGTTGTCCAGAAAAAAATAAAAGAAGTGCTCAAACAGGGATTTTGATAATTTTCGGTAGAAATAATTGTTTATAAATGGTTGCTAGGGAATTGGTTATATATATAAAAAAAAAAAATAATAGATACAACATCTTTTATATTTAAAAAGAAAAGAAAAGAAAATAATTTCTTTTTATCATTATTATTATTTATATAACCATGGCAACCATTTACAAACAACAATTTCCATCTGAAATCTCAAAATTCCCGTTTGATTCCCAGGATTGGTCCTCTCCCTTTTTAAATTAGCCTATGTTTTAAGTTGGATCAAAATACACACAGTGTAACAATTTCATCAAGATCGGAACAGTTGTTTTTACGAATATTGAATAACGAATTGAACAAAGTTTGAGACATATTGAGTTGATACATTTAACGGGCGACGAAGTGCACGGGATCAGCTAGTATATATATATATATAATACATTGATGAATCAAAACGATGTACCTATAGTAATTATTTTGTACATAATGAGTAATCGGCTCATTAGCAATGACTTAAGGTGAAATTAAAAATATTTTTACAATTCTCGATTATTATTTAAAAAATATATACCTATTACCTACAGGTAATTATTTAGTATAACTACAAAGTTACACGCGTACATACAATATGTATATAATAATATATTATATACAATTCAATAAAAGATAGGTATACAGAGAAATTTTTTTTTACCATATTAATCATTTTTTTGTACCTAGGTCCTTGGTTGATAATATAATGTATTAAATATTTACCTGGTTCCTCCAAGTTAATTGTATCATAAATTAGTGAGTTAGAAAAATATTCGTTTATTCTTTTCATTTGTATTGTTTTATAAAATATTTAAACAGTAAGGACAATTTACTAAACGTCCAAAGCGTCAGAAATTTGATTGAAAACTGAGAAATAGATTCTATACTATAGTTTTAGCGATACTGAGATAGCTATTAAGGCATATTATATCGGATTACACGATTGTCGACCCTCATGTTTGTGTTTGAACAAATTTCCCAATAATTGCATTAATTTGTAACAAGTTATCAATAATATCTACAATATATTATAACAACAAACTGGGTTGCTTATAAGTTATAATATAATGGAGTATAATTTGGAATATAATATTTTTTTAAATTGTCATCATTTTTACTATACATTTTTACATTATTACGTAAACTGAAAAAATACTAAAGGGGGGGTTTGAACACCCAAACCCCCCCCCCCGTGTGTACGCCACTGATAGGTAGTCACCGTTGCAATTGAAAACATAATATAATACCAAAACATTATTTTTAAAAGCGTCAACATTATCATAATTCATAATATTACCATACATTTATAATACAATAATGTAACGGGTTTTCGGATGACCAAACCAAAATAATATACAATATATGTATATAAAATATTATAGGTACTATGTTATTGGTATCATTGTATCAAATATAAATAAATAATATTATACAGAGTTCCGAGTGGTCACTGCTTTTTAACGTATTTCATGCGTGATATACATCGCGAATCACGATTGTAAGTGAATCCTGTTTGCCTGTACTGCTCCGAATGTAACATGTACCTACAGGCTACATTTACCTTTATTATGTATTAAATATTTATGTGTACAATAAATAACACCAAACTAAATTATAATTATGAATACGTGGGCGTGAATTCGGCATACGGGATGGTTGTTGAAGGGAGGTGCTTGCTGGAACAAAATACCATATCGGGAGGGAAAGAGGAGTGATTTTCATATTTTCTGTTTATGATCTACCAGCTGAGGAATTTATTAAGGGGATGTCAAAATACTATTTGTTTTATCTCTCCGACCAGCGTATATATAAAACGCATTCATGCAAAATCGTGTTTTATATGGTTTAATACAGTGGTTCTAAATATTTTTAAGACTGCGACCCAAATTTATCATCAAAAATCTATCACAACCCCCTGCTAGTGGGTCGCGACCCACAGTTTGAGAAACTCTGGTTAAGTAATCTTTTTAGAGTAAAATCTTATTGTATTACAAAACTCCGTTCGTGCAACAGATCGACTTTGTAACTAGGTATGGTCCATGAGCGTGGCAGATGGTCAAACTTTTTATTTGAATAATTGTATTAGGTACTAATTTTATAAATATTAATCCGTATACTATAAATTAAATTTATAAATAACGTTCTTTTTGCAGATTTAAATGGAGATAAATTTTTATCTATTATGATTTATTATGTCAAACCTTCAAAAAACAAAAATAATTCTCAATAATGATTGTATATGCCGTGGAATGTATGTTATTACATTTTTACTCTGTATGAGCTAACACCTCTATATCCATACAATTATTTTGAGTGAGTGTGGTTTTCGGTTAATCCACGTTACGCGTGTGTAAGAGAGAAGAAAAAAAAATACAGTGAGCTGAATTTGTTTGACGACCATCACGGACAGTAAGACAGTAAGAAAGAATATTTCCGTTGCTTGTATACGTTCCGGGAAACGAATGCGAACGCGCGCAACAAGTAAAATAAAATATTATCAAAGACAACAAAAGATAGGAAGAAAAAACGTCGAAAGAGGCCGGCAGACGCCTTCTTAGCTGATGTAGTCGTCGGATCTCGAATTAATATCTCGCCATCTGAGTTTCGTTATTCGCCCGTACAAGGTCATCATCCGCCGCCGACGACGACGATGACGAAGCGCGCCCGTCCAGACGACACACCATTCCTAAGTACGTATTATTATAATATACCTATTGTATAGTTTTATTATTCCGATCGCGCCGAATTTCGAATGACGAACAGACGGAAGACGCGGGCGAGGCGACGTTCGCACGAGCGCGTATGGCGTTGGCGTATCGCCATTCGCCGACACGTGCGTATCGATCTCGTGAGTCAGCCTGCGTTCGAGTGTGGACGTACCCTCACGGCCACACAGTGGCGGTGCGGCGCACGCGGTCTCGTTCGCACGGTATTACCGTGCTGCGACAATCATGATTATACGCAGCGACCACGACCGGCCACGAACAATGGGAAACTGGGTGGTGTCCGTCTGTTGGCCACACTGCGCGTCCGTCGGTCTTCGTCGGCGGCGGAGGGGGCGTCGTGTCGACCCGAGTCGTGGTCCCCCGAGTTTTATCAGAATTCAGAGTAGGTATCAGACACAAAAAGAATATTATTCCTACCGCAAACCCACCTACGGACTCCTGTACGATTTTTGCCTATCGCCGCCGCCAGTTTTTCGCTTTACGTTTACGTCCGTCACCAGCCCGCGACCAGTTTGCCGCCGCCGACTGTCCCGCGCACAGTCTGGTTTTTGATATTTCTTTTTTTTTTTATTCTCGAACGAATAAAAAAAAAAACGGAAATTCAGTGAAAGGAAATTTTTAAACGTATTACAGTCCCCCCTAAAGCTCATAGCTGTCTACTTATCTATTACGCTACAACTATAATACTATTATTGCTAATACTACCCAACAAGTGCTGACATAAAATAGTACTAAATATTTACGACTCGTGTTTTTGTTATTTAGCACCGCTCGTTATAAGTGTAATACGCACTGGTTTTAGATTATTATTATGATATAACGACGACTTCGGAAGGAGAACAGAATATCCGCAGGGAAAACTCCGTTTGCAGCTCTCGTCTAGTGTAGTAAGTGTACAAATTAACTGAAAAAACACAAAAATAAAACCCCATTTTGGTGTTGATCCGGACCAGAATACTTTTGGTCAACCTTTTACCGACGATGATTTGCTGACATATGTTGTGCGAACATGTACCTCTCGAGACCTTTGGTTGCCAGTATCCCAAGGCATTTCCATTATCGTGATCACTCAAAGTGTCTTAACGTTTCAATCATGTAACCGTTTATGTATATAGCATATCGATATATCGTTTGATTCATATCATCAGTTTTTTCTATTCAAATGGCACTTGATTGTATTATTTAATTATTCGTTCCGCTAAATTTTACACCTAGATTTAATATTTGGTTAAGTAGAATAAATAAAAATGTTATCTACACTATTATGTACCTACTTCTAAATAACTATATAATATCTATCTATTTCTTATTAGCTATAATTGTTTTTCTGACCAGAATATGATAAAATATGTAATTATTCGTAATTAGTAAAAGCAATCGTTAATCTAATCAATTATGAAATATGCCATAAATTATCATCTTTGACACGCTCACAAAATACTCGTCATTATTCATAAGAAATCAGTAAACAAATTAACTGCTACATTTACCTTTCAAATGTACATAATATTAACTTTCGCAGGTATTGACTAGTGATTTAATTATCAAAATGCCAACATCTGGACCAGTATACCAACCAACTACAGTCAGTTATGAACAACAAAGTGAATGGTCACAGCCATCAAATGGCTTAATCAATCGTACCCTGAATCACATCCGTAACCCAAGGTGGTTCCACTGGTCGTTCATTCTGATCAGTTGGATACTGATTGCCATTGGTGTATTCTTGTTCCTGTCCATTACCACAAACTTTGTGAACTCAGACAACACAAAGGACAATTATACAGAAGACATAGCATTCTTGGTTATTGGCTCTTTCTGTTTTGTATTTGGTGTTGTCCTATTAATAGGTTATTTCCGATACATCAAGGACAAGGAGAGTTGCCCTTGCTTCAATAGTAAAGCACGACAGATGGAATCTCAGTCTTCTAATGGACAAGTATGTATCAACTACAGAATTAAGGTTTTTATATGAAATAACCACTATGCTTATCTATACAGGTACTCACATTGAATCCATCTACAGACCTCTTGATGGCATCTGCACAGTATGTACCAACTTCAGAAGCTCCACCCACAATTATCGAAGAGGATGAAACTAGAAAATTAATGGGAAACGATAACAAAGATTGGTAAGTGTTGAGCAGATGCGTGCCTCATGAACTAAATGTTGTTCAGTGACTACTTCTTTAACAAAAATTAAATAATATTTAAATGTTCATTAAATCCAAAATCGTTTAATAATGTAAAATACATAATAATAATATTTATTGTTAGATTTAATTATTAATCATTAACCATAGAGTAGTATTATAAATTATTTATACTTTTGTGTCATTAATGAATATGACTCATTCTTATACACTCTGAAGGACATCTTGTATTTTTTTTATTCTTACTTGTAAACACATTGTAGGAAAGTAAAAATAAAAAAGAACTAAATAACCAATGATATGCTTTACCATACATTTAATATACATTGACATAGGAATGAAATGAATTGAATTGTTTTTGTTGTTTATAAATATTGTATGTTAGTTTATTATTGTCTTAACTTCTAATTGACGACGCCATTGATGATTAGTGCCATAGTTAATAAGAACAAATGTTTTTTTTTGTTTTTTTTTTTTATAATAAATGACATGCATAAAATGTTATGATTAATAGGGTGTTTTGTTTATTTCTTATCAAATTTTTTATTTATTCTTTTTTACTGTATTGTGTGTGCAGCAATGACGAAAGGGACCACATGTTAGTAACAAGCAACCCGCCGGTAGCGGCACTCCGCACGCATGTACCAAGCGGAGTCTCGCCGCTTTCCGGTGAAGATGCTTGACTTGAGGCGAATTTCACTGATTCTCTATCAGGCATCAATGACTATTATCACAAGTGAGGATGCCATTATATCATAACTTAATAATTGTATCTTACCCAAAAAAAATTTCGTTTAACACGCACATACTTGGTTATTGTTCTCAGTAGATACGACAATCCCACACCTCATAGTCACTTCTATTCTCCACAAACACCCGTCTACAACAAAGCACAACTACACAGCAACTGGACAGCACCACTTGCATTACACGACGACCTGACACCATCCATATGTTCATCGGTTTATAGTATGGATCAGGTAAAATAACAAAAATGTAACAGTTTATCATTTCATAATTTATTTTAAATTGCCAAACAAATTATAATGTTGTATACAATTTTTTTTACAATTATAATTTTTTTACTATTTTCTTCAACGGTCATTGGTACTAAATTTTTTATATATATCATTTTTGTAAACTTACTTTTTTCTATTATTTTTTTTAATAATTTGATTATGTATACGTGAGTAATTTGTAAAGTTTCTATTATGCCTATAAGTAAAACCTTTTATTATTGTTAATTTTTTGCATTTTTTAAGTGTAAATTTAATAATAATTAATGAATAAAATAATGTTTATAACAAATTTGAGGTTATTATGATATAATATTAAATATAGTATTAAATATTAATAATACGAGTGTTCAACAACGGCATTTATTTTAAGATGATATTATTTTGTTGTCATTATGTTATAATGTATTATTATAAAATATTGTATATGTGCTGTAACAACAATAGATGTGATTAACCTCATTAATATGTACTTTTGTATACTTACCATTATTTTTTTTGTATTATTGCCTTTGACAAAGTTCATTTTTGTGTTTTGACTTTAAGTAATTTTATTATGTTTAAAAACAAAGAATTCTTTATTAATTCTAATATATGATTAAGGTTATCACCTCATAATATTTTGATTTATTATTTTTTATGTTTATTATTAGAAGAAACTATTTTATGATGTTATCCAATCATACATAAGATCAAACAACATCTTAAACTCTGTGAAACCGGTTGGAAAACTAATTTCCAGAAATTTAAAAATATTTACTATGCATTGTATACTATAGATATTAATTTATTGAGTTACAATGTTATTCTTCAAACACCTTGAATCCGTTAACATTTGCTGGGCTAACCCCAATTATACTTTATACCATTAAAACACTGTATACCACCTCTGAATTTGTAGGCAGACCAATTAATTTATAAAAATATTAACCAAAGATAGTCAGTATTCCTGCTACTTCACTGCGTAGTCCACACCAATGTTTGAAGTTTGTTGACAAGAGCATATTTTTAAAGATGAATCTTCCTTTGCTGTGTATTGGGCTTTACATTTATACTTTATAGACGAAATATTTGAGGACAACCTCTAGTATTGTAACACCTATTGTATTTTCATCAATATTTACATGTCGTGCAACAATTACTCGCAAGGTTGTCAGTTATGATTTTATGACCACCATTATTATTACTTTTTTTTTTCTATAGTCCAAAGACGATATTTGTTTGGTATGATTATTATTATATATATATATATTTATTTTTTAATGGTGTTTGTGGTTTTAACAAGGTTTTGGTTTCAAGGACTTCGCGTCCTTTTTTCCCGTGGAACTGTTCCGATTATCGCACATAATAATCTAATATTATATTGGTGTCGGAAAACTTACCTGTATATTATAACCCGTAAATCGGTTGTAGCATACCATGACATCGGCACATCGAGTTTTATATAGAACTATTACCTAATTGTATTATACGCTATTGTGCAGTTTATTGCGTTTCGAAGAGGGCACCTTTTTTTTGGGGTGAAAGGCCGCTTAATAGGTAGGTACTCGGTGTGTATTGCTATAAAAAAAAAAATGCTTAGAAATAGGTTACGACTTTTTCACGTTTGTAGAACGTAGGTGACAAATGGCAATGGTTAAAACCTTATCATGAAGTCTGATTGAGTCTCAAGTCCTTATGATGCAAATTAAGCAAAAGAACTGTTTGTACTTTAAGAAGGTCGTTTTTAGGTAATTCTCGAAGTAAAAAAAATGTACTTTGACATTTTCCTACATTATAATTTGTTCCTGGGATTATAATAAAATATAATACACGATACACCACTGTAGGTAAGTACTACTAACTGTACGGCGCGGTGGGGCCATACTACTGCCAATATTTAAGTTTGGTTTTGGGGATACATTGAGACATATTTCAATCGAAACACGTAATGTTGTTTAATAATATAATGTATGTATATATGTATATATGTATATGTGTACAAACGTCGCACCAAAGCATCGAGGCGACAACAAAAACTTACTGACAAAAAAATAATATTAATAATGAATTCAGGCATAAATCGTATTTATAATAATAATAATAATAATAATAATAATAAAAGCACACACTCAACGGGGGCTACTGAAAAACAAAAATAATAATAATTAAGACCAGCCGAGGACGGGGTGGGTGTGTGTGTGGTGACGGTTGGTTACTGGTGAGGGGCGCGGTTGTGATACGGTCGGTTGTCTTCTCGTCTCCACCACGGCACTCCTTCGATTCTGAAACAGACACAAAAGCAAATTTAAATAAAACGGTTTTCGCTTACTCGTCAAGCACATAATAATATTTCCATCGATGTGTCGCGCCAGTGCGAGTGTCTATAATATATTATTACATTATAAGTTGATATCCGTCATCAAACAATTAAATTTAATCTAATAATGTGTTGCATTAATATCTATGAAAGAAATTAAAATATATTTTATCTAAACGCATATAGGTAGACGCGTATTGTATTTTGGAGCATATTTTTGAACATTATTAAAAATAAAAGTTTGTTAAAAGCAATACATTTAGATGCATAAATGAATACTATTGCTTTTTGAGTTCATACAAATTCGAACTTTTTTTGTCCAAGCATTGCTCATACCTTGCTTCTATCGGAAGTCATCGTCAATATCAGCTCAGCCATTACTTTTTTTATGACATTTTTTTCTATGATTCTACCGAAATATGGACTAAACAGTTTGGAAAAAGATTTTCATTGTATAATAAGTTTATAACTATAAATATATAGGTACTGGTTATTTAAAAAAAGCTGACAAAAGTTTATATTGTTTTGTAATACCTACACCGTAATACCTTAATGTTTAATAATAACAAATATCAAATATTAACAATCGATGTAACAAACTATTTACATAATTACAAATAAAACTTAAAAATAAAATCGAATGTTTTGTTGTACACCGCCATATCATAAAAAATAAACCTTTTTCCTTTCAATTTCGGCAGACTTATAGCTGGGTCTATAAATTATAATATATTTAAGTTGATTTTTGCACAAAAAATTTATATTAAAAAGTTAAAAGAAAATAATGTTGCTATGTAATAATTTAATATAATATAACTAAAATAAGAATAATTGGATACTAGACGGGAAGTCAGTATTATTGTAGATGTTAAGAGGACGTAATACCCACATGTGTTGTCTCCGTCTTACAATAAGTGGGTAAACACAGTAAATTTTACGCTCAGCAGAACACGTGTAGCTCCGTTGATAAATTTAAAAATTAGATTGAATTGACCTCTTAAAAAATCTAAAGGCAAGATCACCATCTAGGCAACCTCATGGGCTTTTTATTATATTTTAGCTTTAAAGCGAGTTGTAACGATGCAGAATTGCTATTATAATTAAATATAACGGAATATGTTTCGCCATCTATACACGCGCCAACACGCGAACCCAAACTATTAAACACGCGCCGCCGTAACGATAGGAATACCTACTTATGCTACCAACTTGTCACTGTAACGACTTATTCAAGCACATTGAACGATATAAGTTAAAGCTATACAACGCTCTTAACACGCCAAGCATATAAAGAAGTACCAAAGAAGTTGAATTAAGAAGAAAACACGTATTACATCCAGAAAACCGATGACGCAATGACGCCGCATAGAGTGCGCGCCGTTACGCAGGTTTTCCGACCGTCAACACTTCTAGCGACTTTATGGAAAACCACCACGACAGCCCGTAAAACTGTTACAACCATCATCTTCCCCAGAAGATTATACCCTAATTACATGTAGCCGCCCATAGGGTAGAGAGTATACAACATACAGAAATACAATGAAAGCAACTACCTACTTTCACCTATACAACACACCGCCCGTAGTGCAAACAGGGCATAAATATGAGCCAGCACGGTCAATGGAAACACACAGTTCACTCAACTCACTCAGTTCACCAGTTTTACAGTTTCAACACATCAAATCGCACGCCGTTTCAACTTACCGCCTTTCTTAGTGTGTAACTTCAAACCGCCTTCTCCCGCAAAGCCCTCTCCCTATACTCGCAGTGTGAGTGGTGGTACGCCTCAAAACGTACTGTTCAAGCCACTCACACTTAACAGTAGACGGAGAGGAAGATTCCCCCAACACTCTCGCTAGGTATCGGTGGTGGTACGCCTCAAAACGTACTGTTCAAGCCCCCGGTACCCAGTTGAAGTAGTCGTTGTTTGTCCCCGTTGCCGCCGCCGCCACGACGAGCGCGCCGCCGCGACCGGTAGACTCGCTTTACCGCCCCATCGCGTGTTACGATCTTCGTTACGCCGAGCGCCGTTATCACGCCGCGTGTCGTATTGTTATCGCCGCCGCCACACAGAGCGCGCCGCTGTGATCTCGTATCAGTCCGTTGCCGTATCACCGTTGTTGTTGTCGTCGTTCACGTATCGCAGACGTATTGACGGTACGCACGACAACCAACGCATGATACCAAAGTGATACATATCAATATCATCAACCACGTTGGAACCAGTCGAAGAGAGTGCAGTACCTATACCTGAGGACGAGTCAAGCCACCGCCCGGGAACATTTTTGTATCGTTGTCATCCAGCACCACCGATAGAGTAGGCTGCCATTGGACACAACATACACGTATTCTATCTCTTGCTTTCACGGTCCACGTGAGTCTTTAAATATTGTAATTTATCATCTCACATTTAAATAAAAACCATATCTGTAGCTCGACAGAGCATATGTATGTTAAAAGAAAATACTGTAAAACAAAACTGAATAAATTAATTATTTTGAACTGAAATAAAATATCTGTAGCTCAACAGAGCATGTGTAAATGAAAAGAATATATTGTAACACAATTAAATAAATTTGACAATTCTTTTCAAAATGCAAGAATAAAAAACACTATATATCAAACAAAAACAATCGGTGTTTTGCATTCTTACAATTGGCGCCCAACTACAGGACTCGAAGAAAAGAGACCCCTACATCATTAAAAAAATAAAGAAGAAACCTACTTCGTGTCAAAACCTACATCATTTCAAAAAAAAAAAATGGCACCAAGAAAAGATACAATTGGTAGAGAAGAGTTCGACGCTCTCAAAAGAGAAATTGAACAACACAGTCAGAGCTTAGTCAACCAACTAAGACAACAAATTGCAGATAATGAAGAAAAATGTTTACAGAAAATTGCAGACAATGAAGAAAAATATCAAAGAAAAATCACCGAACTAGAAGACGAATTGAACGAAATTAAATTTAATTATAATAATCTAAATAAAAAACAAACATATACAAATGCTTCAAGACCAGAACCAAGTCACATCAGTGAAATGACACGTCCATCATTTTATGGAAGCAACCGTGACATGCATCCCGTTGACTTTCTACACCGTCTAGACGAATATTTTGCAATTAAACAATTATATGTAGGAGAAAAAATAATCGTGGTGGGAGATTGCCTGAAAGCAACCGCACTCAACTGGTTTTCGACCATACGATTTCAATTAAGGGATTATGATGATTTTCGAAAAGCATTTATTGATGAATATTGGTCAAGAGAAATCCAAATCCAAGTATGGAGTCAGTGCCTCAGCATTACACACATACCTCAAAATACCAATTTTCGGGAACACTTCGCAACATGGGCCACCAAGCTAAGGCACCTAGAAGTACCTCACCTGTCAGAGCCGGAAATAGTCAAGCATATTGCAAAGCACTACCCAGGCTATCTAAGAGCCATCCTGGTATCGATGCCAGAACGAACAATATTGTCAGCAATGAAAATATTAGGCGAAGAAGGACAAAATCAACCTCATAAAGATGACACCCATCATCAAAACAAGAACCAACACGAGAACAATCGTCCGAACAATAATCAAGAGGGACAAACGACACAACATAATTGGAGTCACAGGCCCCACAACCGAAACAACAATTACCAACAAAACAATCGATGGAATAATCGACAAAACAATCAAAACACACCAAGAGAAAACAATCAGCAAATTAATCAAGTTACCACAAGCAATGAGAGTGATGAGCCAGAACAAACTATCAATCAAATGGAGGGAAATGGTGAGTCATTCAGTCCATACATACAATGCCTCATTGAGGGAGAAGAAATTGAAGTACTGGTAGACACCGGAGCAACAATCAGCGTGTTAACCAAAGAAGTGGTTGATACAATAATTAAGAAAAATCCACGAATACCACAGCTACCTGTCACCGGAGTTAAGATAAGTAATGCTGTCGGCAAACAAATATGCAAAACCTCAAGACAAGTGTTCTGTCAGTGTCAATTCAAAGAAGCCACTATAGTGTCTAATTTCATACAAGTCGAGGGACTTAATGAAAGGGGCATTATTGGGTCAGATATACTAAATAAATACAACATGCGAATTGACTTTGACAATCACACGATCAGAATGAAAATATCAGGACAAATCTACTTCATCCCGTTTTCAAAAAAATTACCAAAAATTACTGCACCACAGGGAAGCTTAAAAGATATGACCATCAATGAGTGCGACGAAGAAAAAAAAGATCAAGTAGCAATCAATGATGAAGAAAGTGAACAATTCGATACACTCATGAACCAATACGCACACATTTTTTCCGACCGTCCCGGGAAAATCACTGCATTCGAATGTCAAATTCGAACAACAGAGGGGACACCCATTTACCAAAAACCATACCCCATTCCAGTATCAAAAAGTAATCGCATCGACCAAGAAATACAACGAATGCTAGAACTTGATATCACCGAAACGCATGAAAAATATGGACATCTAGGACCTCTAAAGATTTACCAAATGCTACATCGACAATATCAATTATTTAACATGTACCGAACAGTCAAGCGAATCATAAAAACTTGTGACCTATGTCAGAAATCAAAATGCGCCAACCAAGGAGCAAGGGGACCAACAGGGACCATCCTACCCACTGAACCACTTCAAATCGTCTCTCTTGATCTAATGGGACCATTACCAAGGGGACAAGGTGGATCGAAATACATACTTGCTATACTAGATATCTTTTCAAAATATATTCAATTATATCCACTTAGAAAAGCAACCACTGACACTATCCTCAAGCGCATTACTCAAGAATACATACCAAAGATCGGAAAAATGAAGTCCATACTCACCGACAACGGTACGCAATTTCACAGCAACAAATGGTACAATGTGCTAACCCTCATGAACGTGAAAATATTACATACAACTCCGTATCATCCAGAAGGCAACCCGGTAGAAAGAGCAAACAGGGAGATCGGCAGGATGTTGAGAACCTACTGTCACAAGAAACACACTGCTTGGGTAAGATGGCTCACCAACATCGAATATTGGATAAACCACGCTACTCACGACTCCACAGGTTTTTCTCCAACACAGGTTCTTCATGGTACTGAACCAAACCTTAGCATAAGTAAGAAAATTCACTACCCAGAGAATACCATTCTACCTGACCACAAAGGAATAATCGAAATCGTAAGAACCAAGTTAAAACACCAATCAGAAAAACGCAACCAACAAAAGGACAAAAATAAAAAATTCCCAAAATATGAAGAGGGACAACAAGTGTTAATAAAGGAACATAAACTATCGTCCGCAGAAGACCGAGAGATACACAAATTTTTCCTTTTGTACAAGGGACCATACACCATACAATCAGTGAACCAAAATAACACAATCACAGTATGCAATGATCAAAACATCATATCAACACACAGCATGAAGAATGTCAAACGGTACATGCCCCCAGATCCAGGGAAGAGCAGTACTGAAGACACCTCTGCAAGACTATAAATAAAACACCAATAAGACCATGTTGTCATTTGTCCTCATAATTGTCATAACATAATTTTATATATTTCCAGATGGACGACAACATGGCAAACGAACATCTAAATGATCATTTATATTATTTAATGATTGAATTGTTTAATAACGATTATTTAGATGAAGATAATCAACTACTATCCATTAGAAAACCTCGCGAAACACATGAAACACTACAACGTCTAGATATACAACAAGAACAAAGTGCCATTGAAGAAGAAATTACCGCTGATCCAGAAGAAAAACCACTTAGCAATCGTGCCAAGAAAAAAATGAAATGGATAGCGAACATAGGTAAAATAAGAAAACATGAGTAAAAAAAAACTTACTTACAGATCCTCCGGATCTATAGCGCATACCGACCTACAGTGGAAAAGACATCTATGTGTAGCATACAAAGTTTACATTAATTTTTTTTTTTAAATTTCTCTTTCACACATATAATAAAAAAAAAAAATAAATGTAAAAGGGGACAATGTAACGATGCAGAATTGCTATTATAATTAAATATAACGGAATATGTGTCGCCATCTATACACGCGCCAACACGCGAACCCAAACTATTAAACACGCGCCGCCGTAACGATAGGAATACCTACTTATGCTACCAACTTGTCACTGTAACGACTTATTCAAGCACATTGAACGATATAAGTTAAAGCTATACAACGCTCTTAACACGCCAAGCATATAAAGAAGTACCAAAGAAGTTGAATTAAGAAGAAAACACGTATTACATCCAGAAAACCGATGACGCAATGACGCCGCATAGAGTGCGCGCCGTTACGCAGGTTTTCCGACCGTCAACACTTCTAGCGACTTTATGGAAAACCACCACGACAGCCCGTAAAACTGTTACAACCATCATCTTCCCCAGAAGATTATACCCTAATTACATGTAGCCGCCCATAGGGTAGAGAGTATACAACATACAGAAATACAATGAAAGCAACTACCTACTTTCACCTATACAACACACCGCCCGTAGTGCAAACAGGGCATAAATATGAGCCAGCACGGTCAATGGAAACACACAGTTCACTCAACTCACTCAGTTCACCAGTTTTACAGTTTCAACACATCAAATCGCACGCCGTTTCAACTTACCGCCTTTCTTAGTGTGTAACTTCAAACCGCCTTCTCCCGCAAAGCCCTCTCCCTATACTCGCAGTGTGAGTGGTGGTACGCCTCAAAACGTACTGTTCAAGCCACTCACACTTAACAGTAGACGGAGAGGAAGATTCCCCCAACACTCTCGCTAGGTATCGGTGGTGGTACGCCTCAAAACGTACTGTTCAAGCCCCCGGTACCCAGTTGAAGTAGTCGTTGTTTGTCCCCGTTGCCGCCGCCGCCACGACGAGCGCGCCGCCGCGACCGGTAGACTCGCTTTACCGCCCCATCGCGTGTTACGATCTTCGTTACGCCGAGCGCCGTTATCACGCCGCGTGTCGTATTGTTATCGCCGCCGCCACACAGAGCGCGCCGCTGTGATCTCGTATCAGTCCGTTGCCGTATCACCGTTGTTGTTGTCGTCGTTCACGTATCGCAGACGTATTGACGGTACGCACGACAACCAACGCATGATACCAAAGTGATACATATCAATATCATCAACCACGTTGGAACCAGTCGAAGAGAGTGCAGTACCTATACCTGAGGACGAGTCAAGCCACCGCCCGGGAACATTTTTGTATCGTTGTCATCCAGCACCACCGATAGAGTAGGCTGCCATTGGACACAACATACACGTATTCTATCTCTTGCTTTCACGGTCCACGTGAGTCTTTAAATATTGTAATTTATCATCTCACATTTAAATAAAAACCATATCTGTAGCTCGACAGAGCATATGTATGTTAAAAGAAAATACTGTAAAACAAAACTGAATAAATTAATTATTTTGAACTGAAATAAAATATCTGTAGCTCAACAGAGCATGTGTAAATGAAAAGAATATATTGTAACACAATTAAATAAATTTGACAATTCTTTTCAAAATGCAAGAATAAAAAACACTATATATCAAACAAAAACAATCGGTGTTTTGCATTCTTACAGAGTTATGAATATTTTAAGATGTACAAGTCATTAACAATTTTACCATGTATGGAGCAAAAGGTGGTCATGAGAAATAATTTTTGCTCACTACAATTTAATTTTAAAGTTCGGCGTCACTGTGTATTAACTATTAATATAATTTATTGGAAATAATAAAAAATTGTGTTTTATTGATCATGTTATTACTGAGGGAGACTAATTAAATATTTTTTTTTGTTTTCGAATTAAATTAACATTCCTGCATTTAGAATGTTAATATAGCTGATTTACAAACAATAGTCTATATAACAGTACCTATATCCGGGACTTTTATGAAACCTAATTATAACCAACAAACTCAAGTAAATAATAAGTATAAGTACCTATATGAATTTGAGCGATACCTACCTATAGACGAAACAAAGTTTTCGTTTAACGCTAAACCTATTAATCGGCCCAATCGGTTTGTCTCAATGCATAATACTGTTTAGTACAATATGGGACATGGGTAACACCATTATGACATTATTAGATATTTTTGTATTTACAATAATTTCTATTCTATTTAGTATTTATGATAGCCGATAGGAAGTGTTCAATATTTATTTATATATAATAAACGGGTATTAGCTTGAATATAATTATAAGTACCTACAATACAGCTTATCTTATAATAGATTTTGGATACAAAAAAGAAGTAAAAATTAGTAGTACCAATGGTAATAGTAAACAGCTAAATAAAGAATAATTATTAATTGTATTTAAATAAAGTAACTAGACAGGGTTGTTCTGAATATATAGTTAATTATTATTGTTATATATTTACATATTTTTAATTTAGTTGACCAACGGCTATAATTTAGAGAGATTCATTGATCTAGAGATCCTAGTATAATAACGGAGCACCACTCCTCTACATCCACCGTAAATGTTTTGAGAGCAATCGGTAACCTCCCTATTTAAGTGGATTGATAAAACTATGTTTTAAATTATTTTTATCTATATATTAAGGTAAAAAGACGGACATTTTCATCTAGACGACATAGAAAGATAGTATAGACGATGCACCACAACAATCATCAAACACCCATTACACGCCAACAACACTCACTGCTGTAGGTCGGACGTCGTCTCGTAGTGATGGCCGTTGGCCGCGTTATAGTTTGTCTCGCTGCCGTCCCTCTGACCGACGTACTGGTAGACGTTGCCCTGGAACTGCCGGCGAAGCGTACCGCCGTTATCGGCACCGCCGGCCACCATGATATTCTGCAGCGGTATGGTCTCGGCGGCGGTTGCGGCAGTGCCGGACCCGGTGGCCGACAGTTGGCCGGCAACTCCGCCGTTGTGTTGGTTACTGCTGCCGTTGTTGTTGATCATCATCAGGGCGCCCGCGTTCGACCTGTGGTGGTGTCGGCCGTTCAGCTGCCTGTGCCGCTTCCGGCGGTCGGCGTCCTGCCGTACTCGGCACTGAACGGTCATCAGGAACGCGCTGACCGGAAGTACCAGGCCGCCGATGTACAGGAACCGCGGGTCCCGGGTAGACACGACGGCCGCCATGATCAACAGGAAGCCCACCGTGATGCCCGCAAAATAAAGCACCTGTGAAGCATGGACGACGGTATGTATAAAACGATTATATAAAATAATGACAATAATAATATGATTATGCGGTCTCTGAAATGCTCGACAGGGAGGCGGAGTACCTCAACTACTCTAAATTGTCCTACTAAATTGTATTTTGCCAATTCTAACACTGTGCGATCTTCAAACGAGTTAAACTAAATAGATACCTATATAATATAGTAAAGTAATATTATTATTCTACACTGAAAAAATATTAAATAATATTAATGGATGTTAAACTGTGGATAGACATTGATGTCTTCAAACGTTATACTAAATTGTAAAACAGAATGTCTCGAGAAAATTTCAGAATTAATACTAAATTTTATACTATAAGTTATAACTAGTATTTAAATATTTTTTAATCGTTTGCTTCGAAAGTTTAATTTTCGATGCCGGTTGAAGAGCCGGAAAACGAACTTTTCAATCAACCACGTGGATAGTATAGTGGAAATCCCGGTATGCAGCAGCTGCAGCGGTCAGACAATTATTCCTGCAGAGATGGATATGTGAGATATGTGAAACTAACATTCATGAACGTATAAATTAAAAAACTGTTAAAGTTTTTGAAATTATTTTTTTACATCATCTCAAGTCATTAAAAAACATATTTCTAAAAATATTTATTATTATTATCGTGAACAATGAAAATAATAGACGATCATTACAATGAAACTTAAAATATTTTTAAATAATTGATTTAATTTGGATGTGTTTACCGAGACCTTAGAATACACTCATGGAGCCCTATAGGTCTTGGCAAAACACAGATCGAGAACCACTCAAACTTAGACACTAGCGTAGTCTGGTATTTCCATATAATAGTGACTTACCAGCAAGCAGAAATGGCAGAAGTTTTCGAACCTCGGACAGTGGCCGCCGCACGCGTCGACGGCGACGTCGCAAGAGGGCAACAACAGTGGCACCGCAGCCGGTGGCTGGTGATGTTGCCTCAAGACCGCGGCCGCAGCGGCGGGGTTCTGCGGAGGTAACTGTGGTGGCGGCTGCGGCAAGTATTGGGTGGCGGTGGCCGGCTGTTGCTGGAGATGGTGAACGGCCGACGACGGCGGTTCAACCGGTGGCCAGACCGGCGCCATCTGCGGCCGGTGGTGGTGGTGCTGCTGCTGCTGGTGCAGTTGGTGCAGCGATTGGTGGTTCAACTGTTGAGGTGGCGGTTGCTGCAGCGGGTTGTACTTGACGCCGGCCGTTGTCACCGACGAAAGTGCATCCGGGTCCGTAGTGGCACCACCACCGCCACCACTCTTGTGGTGGCCGCGAGACGCCTGGCGGTGGCTGTTGTACACTCGGTGGTGCTTTGCCCGGCGGTTGGCCGCGTATGCCCGGTCATTGGAGCTGTTCGAAGAAGATCCACCGGCCACCGGAGAATGTCTATCCGCGCTCCAGGCATTTCTGTCCGAACATGATAACAATACATTATTATATTGTGAGTAGGTATTATATTATTATTATTATCGTTATTATACACATTACACACTGCAGAGGCGTATTCAGAATTTTCACACACAATATTTTAGCCAGCTCAAAATCATTTCTCAATTGTCGACAATTCACATTGTTACATAATTAAACAGTTATTTTCTGAATGTCAATGTCCAGATTATCGATAGAGAACTCAGAAAGTAAGTATTAATATACCTAATATAATTAATTAAACATAAAACATTCATTAAAATGCCCAATAGGTGTGTAGTAAAAATTAATATATTTTAATGATTAGAAATAAGCTCGGTTAGATTGTGTAACATTTTCATATTTTAAACATTTTACCAGTATAATTATAATGTTGATACTGTAAAAACTGTAACCGCACGTCCACAAGTTGAATATTTTTCAACTTTACGGTAGCACGTCGCTAGTGACATGTTATATTAAAAAGATAACCATAGCGTTTAGCCAATTAAATCTTCACTAGGGTTTAAACACGTGTTAAATTATGGAAGACATGATTATAAAGTGTAAAAGCTCCTTATAAGGGTTAAATAATAAGAGTGATGTAACCAAGATTATGTTTTTTAGGGGGTTGGTAATTTGTTATATGTGTAGGAGAGACTAAACTAGAATCCCCCATAAGTTTAATATGGCGATGCCGACCGCAACATGCCGTGGTCCCAGAGTATATAACATTTTAGATTTTTGCAAAAAACTTCATACAAATAACACTTTTAATAATACAAATGGTTATTTCTTATACGTAACAGAACGCTGAAAACATTTATACATTTTCCAGAAATTTCGAGGATGGCTGCAACCCTACTCAGCCCATCCCTGACATCACCACTGAAATATAATAATCAAAAGCCTAAAATCCATATAAAAAGCAATCTCCCCCCCCCAAGTCATCTCTAAATACGTATCTGATTTCTCGTTATTAAAATTGTTGGTATGTATTATAGTATTATTCGTAGAGTACTAGAGTTATATTTCAATCCAAAAAAGCATTTTTCGAGAGCCATAATATTGCCTCGTCGGCATAGTTTTATATATTAATATACATATCGTTTCGCTGAATTCCGTGCGATCCTCTAGTTCATCCGGCTAGTATAAGTTCAAAAATTTCCACTATGTAATAGAGAATATTATTGCAAATTATTTTTTGGAATGTATAATAATATATAAAAACTAAAAGCTTTAACAGCGAGGAGGACGGACGAAAACAATGAGAAATTCTTCGCTTTGTTCACTGGTACAACCATAGTCTGTCAGTCCAACATGACTAGTATAATAATATAATATAGTGATGTTCATTATTCCCATCGATTTTTCTATTATTATTATCATTATTATGATATAGTACGTGATGATTTTTAGCCGCAGTTTTGTTGGATACGGCCACGGGGTAAGTAGTTTATAAATAGTATTTGGTTTGTATGAATAGAGAAAAACCTTTGGAAATCGTTAAAATAATATTCTACAGTTCCATTATATACGCCGGACAAATCTCCGAATGGCTCGAGGGGGGAGGTAAATAATACTACACACCCTCTCTCTTGCATCTCCTGTCAAGAGGAAATTGAACAAAAACACGTCACCACCGAGTTTCTCATCTCAATCATAAGAAGTACCACGAGCGCGCGCGAGAGCGTACACACACCATTTCCAAATTATAAATTGACTGCGAAAATCAATAATTATCAAATACTAAATAGGTACCTAGTTGTTGTGTTCTTGGCGGAGTGACACAATATTAATCAAATTTAAAGACACGTCGGAGTCGGAATATTTTCGAGCAAACGACCACTACAACGGCCGTTCGTCAATTATATGGATTTCTTCCGGGTTTGAGATGAAAACCGGATTCGTCGTCGACACAAACTACGTCGTTCACGGAAATCCGACGAAAACACACAGTCTGCAATTTATTACAAAACTAAACCCTCCGGGCTCCGGACACGAGTATTGATCGCGTACATATACAATTTACCACCCGACAAATTACCGCGAACCACTAGTAAATACCTGAACTACTCCTATATACGTCTGCAAAATATATAGGTATGCACGTACACTCAAACTGTATATTAACATTCTGGGTCTAACATTCTGACATTTTGTACAGCCCATCTGAGCATTAATACAAATAAAAAATAAAGCAATGTTTAAACAGATAAAACGCCGTAAAGATAGGTATTTTCATATTAAATGCATACAGAAACGATGGAAAAAGTTTTACAGCGAACCCAAAAACTCTACACTCTCCGCTTCAAACTATATCGATTCTGATTATGGTCGCAAACAGCGCCTGAAATATATTATCACCAATAGTACCTGGGCAACGAGTGATGGTGGTGACTGCTCGACGGGGGCCTAGATCCGACCACCGCGTTCGACTGTTGTTGTTGCTGCTGAGCGCCATAGAATTGCTGTTGCAGCAGCAATTGCTGGTGTTGCTGTTGTGACTGCTGCTGCTGGTAATGGTGGTGCGCGCGGCCGTTGTACGTGTTGTTGCCGTGCACCGGCGGCGGCGGCTTGGTGTAGACGGCCGCCGGCGGCGGTTCCGGACCGTATTGTTTAGAGCGTCCATGCCTTGACATGGCGCATCAACATGTCGCCGCTGCTCGACCGTCGCCGCTGGCGTACGTCGTCAATCGCATGCCTGCTGAAAAATCGAATTGTCATTAGTCATAATTAGACATTACCATACAATTATTAAAGTTATATTATTATGATCGTGAGCTAAGTAATTATCAATGATTATTTTCCAGGTATTTATTTTTTACATTTTTACAAAAATAACCCCCCTTCCAACACCAATGATAGGAAACCACAGACCTTCAGATTAAAAATGAAATACGTTTTGCGGACGTTTCATTATCAGGGAGAACAAATTCCGTTTCGTTTGGTTTAACTTCAAAATTTAGTATACCAGATGGCGCTAACATATTTTATTATTTATTTAATTTAAAATTGTGTAATAATATGTAGCTTTTTGCCAGAGATAAATCGATGTTGTATGTGTAGGTAGGACGGGTATACGTATAATAAATTAATAATTAATTACAGCACAATTTAATACCAGCTATAAGATTTTTATACTCACAATTTAGTATTGCACATTCAGTTTATAGCTAGGTACTACCTATCTATATAAATCGACCTAAACGAATTGTAACGATAAATATTTAAATAATAAGTATCCGTACAACGACGATCGAGGTACGAGAATTATTTATAATATGAATTACTTGACCAGGATTTTTACGCATATTCATAGTTTAACACTACCATGACTCACAAGTTAGCTACGCAAATAAACAAACACATAAAAACGCATAATAACCGTATATTTCATGGTTAAATTTTGAAAATGTCAACAAAATTAAAAATGGATATGCGTAATACATGAGTATTTTTTTAGAGTAGTAATAGTTGATAAAATTAAAACTTTCTCGAGAACTAAACAGCAGTTGTACCTACAATGTATTTTGCTTTATAAACATTTTTTTTAAAACCGATCTAAAGTAATGTGATTGAAGAATTTAAATCTGTTTTCAGAAGTCTCATCTGATAATATAATCAACTGGTATACATCATATTATAAATATGTACAATAAGTACCTACTTGGCTAAAAGAAAAAAAGCACGGCTCGTGTTGATATAAGCGAGTGGAAGTAGCACGTTATGATATTAGTCCAATCACACTAATAAGTAATAATCGTTGTCACAACCACACGGATCGTACCCTTCGAATTACGTATAATGAACTCCTGAAATAAAACAGTTTGCATTCCCTTTAATTTATTACCGGTTGATCAGTCGATTTAATACGAGCCTATAGCCCACATGTAGTAGCACGCAATAGAATAAATTGCCATCGCCTACCCACAAATGATTATTGAACAGTGAATCAACTCTGGTATGCGGATATTATATTTGATACGCATTTGTATACATAAAAACACGCTATGACTTTATTTTGGGGCAATATTTTCAGAATGACCGTTTGTCATTTCCGGCGAGATAAAGAGTTACCTCTCGGTGGGTCGCCCAAAATTTGAGTCAGCCGCTTAGTAATGTAATTAATAACTAAACATATTTAAATGTACATATGAGTTATGACCGAAAATATTTGTTCTGGAACATGCCTATTCTAGTGTAATGACTTCAAGTGTGATAAAAGTTTAAAACACACATAATTTTGGTAACCTTATATTGCTGACATGCTATCCCAGTCTTTTGTTAGCATTCATTGAAAATTATCATTTATTGTCCAACTGATGTCAGAGTAAATTATTTAGCGAGAACGAAGAATCCAAGAACTATATTTTAACATTGATAAATTTAAAAAACGGCTGTCATTTATGTATTGCTAATTATTAATAACGATATTTCTTGAACATAAACTACAATAAAAGTCGGATAGGTACGTACAACATGCGACAAAGACACGGTGTTTCGGGTTTGTAGAACCATATAGAGAGGGAAACATTTGGAACAGAGTTAATTGTCTACCTAACCCATATGTGAGGATGTCGGGATGTGGGCCACCCAAAAACATATAAATCAATTTCCAGGATCAGAAATTACAAGGACACCGTAGTCTCCGCCTATACAGTTGTTTTTCTCGCCTAACTATATTACTACAAAAATAGTTTATCAATTATCATTCGAATTCGGTTTACATCGATTTTATTTTTTAAATATCACCAATGTCCATTAAGGATCGGCTAGTGTGGTCGCTCGATGTATTTTGTAACCAACAACATGTGCTCGCGTTCCAGAAATATAGCAGTAGACCCAGAAATATATTACTTGTCAGTTGTCAGTATAAAAAAGGACCTGGGAGTGTCAATGAGAATTTTTGACACACACCCAGTTGCACACAAGGCTTACACCTATAAATACTGCTCGAAATCTCTAGTTTTTAATTAGACACGTAAAATAGTAATATAATAGTGAAATTATTGTTAATTTAATGACGTATATAAAATTATACGTCATAATGTTATTTAGCTTTTTAGGGTGAAAACAACTAAACTCATTCTTGTGTGTAAAGTTTCATATAAAAATAATTATATTAGCATAAATACCGAATATTCATTAGGTCACTCGCACATGTAATTTATTATTATTGAATAATTGAAGCAGCGCATTCAACGAAAGTGAGTGTAATATTAATTAACAACGCGTTTTCATCGCGTGAACAGTTATGAACAATTATATGAATAGGACAAAAACAAATATATATATATCGTGGAAAGCTATAAAAGAAACACAAAAGGCTACCACAGCATTTTAAACGTTAATTATTTCCGGTTTTTAATAATAATACACGACCACTGATGGGTACAGAATACCGTAGATGTTAAAACGCTTTAATAAAACATAAATCAGTTTCCAAAAGTATACATTTTCTCGCGAAAAACGATAAAATTAAGTTAAAATACCAGACAGCATATGAAAATATTTTTAAATTAAAGAATCATTCTAATGACACAAATATTATAAAAATTTAATTTTCTAAAATATGCTGTTTGGTAACACCAGGCTACAGCCTGCACAGCATGTATTGGCTGTATACGTATCGTCGCCCAAAATAGGCAAAATACACGGCTAATAGACAAACATAGGCGGTTAATGAATAATATGTAGAGATAAGTATATTAGTAAAGTATAAGAATATTTAAGTATTTACGCCGGTAAAAATATCAAATAATTCTGTTTCATCAGGGAGCCGTAATATAATTTCCTAGACGTTACTCCGTGGGCATAATGTTTTTCCAAACTTCTGATATTACAATATATTAAATAACTTATAACACAATGCACAGCAGCGATTTAAGAATAATGCGGGAATAATGTTAATCAAATAACATGTTTTTCATAGGAATAATTGTGGTACACAAAATATATTAAAATAATTCTACTAACTAAATAAGCAATGCCTGTAGAGTGATTTTTTTAGGTTCTTAGAATATGACTCTAACATCTGCACAAAATATAATTGAACCTATTAGTTAGAAATCACCAGAGACCTGCAAGATGAACAATTTAGTAAAAATCATGAAACTAGATGTTGTACACAACTTATTTAACGATGTCAATTTTTTTTTTATAATAGATATGTTTTAGTTATAGCCTATAGGTATAAAGAAATTCTCACTCGGGAAATAACAATCATAAATTGTTTACATATAATAATAAAATATATTCTAAAACATTAAAATATGAAAAATATAGCCTAAGCCCCCTTTACTAAACCTAAAAATATGCCCAAATATGCAAGATTAATTTTTTCTACAAATTTTGAAATCAACAAATCATCTACTTTTTTATCCCCATCGAGCTGCATAAACTCAAAAAATACACGAGAAAACCAATAAATCCGCTCTCTAGAAATCCTAGACAAAAAGTCCGAGAATACAAAATATTCTATTACATTTTCATTTATAATTATAAATAGGTAGGTGCCTACCTACTCTACCTATATATTTATAGGTACACTTAATTAATATTCATTTGAAATGGTAATTAATTTTCTTATAGGTATACCTACAATATTAATATATTATATTTGATTATTATTTATTATACTTACCTACAGTTTACAATTAATATATTATAAAAATTTAAAATAATGGTTAATATAAAAGTAAGTTCAAAAATATATGTATAAGAAAAAGTATAAGCCTTTTGGCTTTTACAATTAATATTATAAATATTACAGTCAATACAAACATCAACCACTCTACAGTAATAATTATAATAATTTAAAATAAGGTACTTTTCTGAAGCAATAACCTATGCGATTTAATAACATTTTTATAATATTTGTAAAGCCAAACGGTTTATAATATATTTCTTAGATATTTTTTAACTTAGGTAGGTACTTTTATATCGACCTTTATTTTGAATAATAAGGATAAGGAATTGAAATCAAATATAATATATTACATTCATAATTATAAATGAAAATTGAATAGAATATTTTGTAGTTTTGGACTTTCTTTCAAACCGGACTTATTTACAGATTATAGCTCTTTAAAGTCTAGACAAATAGGTGTTATGTACCGGAGAAACGGATATACAACATAAATACTCGTACACCACACGTACACATAGTGCATAGTACAAGAACAATAGTTTAACAACGACCGCGCACGTAGGTTACCCACGTTATGATGTAAGTATATTTTTTCGGCGATCATCACACGATGATTATCAACAATAACGCGTTATTATTAATTGCCGTCAACCCCCCCCCCCCCTGCCGGTAGAGAAAAAATCTCTTGTAGTTGTTCTCGTCAAATTATCGTCGTTATATTATGCGCGCACCACTTACTATTATACTAAACAGCATAATATCGAACAATATAATATTAAGTATATTATATAAGTGGTAGTGGGACGTTTATATAATTTAAAATATCGAACGGTCGAGATCTTTTATACAGAGTGAACATAATATAAAAGGCAAGAATAAGCTGCTGTCGATGATTTAAATATTAAATGTTGGTATGCGAAAGACTGCAGCGGTATATCATTATAATAATATAACTTATAAATTATAAGTAAATTGTTTAAATTGGCACCA